TTTTTGTGAGGGGAAAAAGATCAAATGTGTTTTCCCGTCCAGGGTGGGGCGGGAGAAGACATTTAGACTCTTACTGACTAAAAACCCCCCTGTTCCTTCTCCTGTTGTACCTTATTGCGCTTGTCCCGTAACCCCGGATGCTGTCTGTTGGAGATAGAAAGAATGTTGAAGGACACTATTATATTAAATCAAATATCTTTTATGTATCTATGGTGTACAGAGATGGTCTACAATTATAATAACTGTTTCAACTACAAGTCCATCCGGGCACCGCAAACCAATTACAAGATTAACCATGTAACATATTCCAATTAAAAAAAATAACTGCGCCAACCCGCATTGAGTAAGCGTGGTGATCAATGCTCTAACCTTCTCCGTATAAGAAGAGGCCTTTGCTCAGCAGTGGGCACTTATAGGCTGATGATGATGATTTTCCAATTTATGATATATTTTTTTAAATACTCCATTTTTTTACTGAAGGTGCTTACTCATCGCAAGACCAGTCCGATTTTTTGCACAATTGGCGCGGTGGCTAAGCAACTGCCTGCCGTGCAACGTGTCGCCGTTTCAATTCTCGCTCCGGACAACTACTATTGTGATCTACAATTTTTTTTCGGGTCTGGATGTCATTGTGTATGTGAAATCGTATATTTGTAAACGAACCTACGACACAGGAGAAAATCTTAGAGCGGGGTGCAACGTTTAAAAAAAAAGTTCACAAACTCTTCATAAAACAATTTGATCGTAAGTTTCTTACTCACACAAAGTAACGAATAACTTAAGCATGTTTAATAAAGCATATATATTAATATAGCTCTCCCTGCATAGCTAGTACCTACTCAGTAAATTAATTTTAAAATGGATTCTTGTTCATGGCTGTGCACTCCTGTATTTGTTCTTGTAATAATCATGGTCTGTGAGACAGCTGTGTCCAATGTATAGGAAATTATTTTTAGCCTAGAATTTAACAAAGAGATCACAGACATCAAGTGTGGAAGAGTCATGCTTTAGCACGAGTGGGTCGGCTCGACTATAGTGATACCACGGCCTCACAGAAAACTGACGTGAAACAAACACTGCGCTGTGTTTGAACGTGTAAGGTTGCCGGAGGTCCAATCCTTCCCCTCCCTCAATCCCAAAATTTTCTAAATCCCTATCTCCAAAAGGTCGGCAACGCACTCGTACCTAACTCCTCGTTTATGTTATTGCAATTGTTTTATGTTATTGTTAGTCCAATTGTCCATGGGCGGCGCTGATTGCTTATCATCAGGTAATCCGTCTGCTCGTTTGCCGACTTATAACATAAAAACATCAATTTAGTAGTTGCTTGCTAACGAAAAACACTTTCGAAATAACTACTTCAACCACGACCTTGAATGACCTACGCCAACTTTTTATACTACACTGTCCAATCAGTCTAGAATTATAAAATGTCTACCTAAAATCCAAAGCTAATTAGATCTGACATTTTGATATTTTGCACAAACCCTTCCGGTAAACGTTAGTGTCTTAACCTCAGCTACCTCTTACATAGGTATTGTGTCTGTCTAGATATGTTATATGTATTAAATAGATATACTTGTAAACTGGTTGACGTCGAGATTGTTATGTTTTATAGATATCTACCATGTTTTAAGGGTGAAATTCATTCCATGACTTTTTTTATAGTAGGTATAAGTCGGCAAACGAGCAGACGGATTACCTGATGGTAAGCAATCGGCGCCGCCCATGGACACCCGAACACCAAAGCAGTTATGAATGCGTTGCCGGCCTTTTGGGGATAGAGGTTGCGGATAAAACCAAATAAAGGATCGGGAAGGGATATCGGAAAGGGCGGGATTGGGCCTCCGGTAACCTCACTCACACGGCGAAACAAATCGCTGTTGTCGTTTCACGCCGGTTTTCTGTGGTATCACTCCGGTCGAACCGACCCATTCGTGCCGAAGCTTGGCTCTCCCACACTTTCACTTCCAAAGACTTCCCTCGCCCTGGGCTTTTTTCTCTGATCTAAGGTAAGGTGGGAGGGAACGTTAGACTCTTACTAACTACCACATGTTCCTGCTGCTCCAGGCCGAGGCCGCGGTATCAAATTGCGCTATCCCCGCAATCCTGTCTGAGCATCGACCCTGTTGGGCACCATCTGTGGTGGTCTATTGGCTCTTGGGGCGAGAGGTTGTGTCAGACTCAGACCCTTACTTACTTACTTACTTATTACTTTTCCATTACTTTACCCTGCTCTGACCTGCTTCTACACGGTACTTGGGCACACTATTACGCTTGCTCTCCTAACTCCAACTGGAGATACCTACCTACGATGAATGACTATGTAGTTATTTTCAGGTACCTAAACAAGTGTTGGTAGTAAAGTCGGTAGCCTCACTATGTCCAAGCAAGAAGTTTGGATCTAGACTACAGGATCATTTCAGGTTCCTCAAATTGTCTGTACTTAATTCAGAAAAAGATGATGCATTTTTACATAAAATACAACATCATTCCTAATCATTCTTCGCTATACTCCATTATCAATTCGTTTTTACATCGCACCAAGATAGAATAAGAAAATAATTAAGTACTAAAAAAAAAGAGTTGTTCAAATTAATAAAGAATTAAAATGTACTTGTTATTTGTAGCTTGTTTTAAACAGGTTTAAAATAAGAACTAAAATAACTGCGCCACCTAGTGGCCTACATTATAAAAAAAGAATTTGATATCAAGCAAGGCTCTCAACGACCTACGTGAAGGGACGCAGTTTTGATAAGGTTGGTACTTAATTTACTTAAACAGGTTGATCTGGTACTTTTTGTATTGATATTTAGGTTAATGTGTTGACTAGAATAAAACTGTTCTGTGCCTCAGATAGACTGCACGAAAATAACTTTGAAAAAGTAGAAGTTGCTGATTTTACATAACACAATGAGAAATTGCAAATATTATGCGTTATTTTATATTTAAACCTAAACTCCTTGTGTCGCGCACTTGATGCACTCTTTACTTAAGAACCGAAGGAAAAGAGTACATTATTTGCAATAAAAACACACACATTAATAAACTTTTTACAAACAAAAATTAGCTCAACGTGATCTTAAACGACAGTGACGCCACCTAAAAAGGCAAAAACATAAAAACCTATACATATACCAACCCCTCGCAGAAATCCCGGACAATCCATAGCTATTATAAAAATGGTATAAAACCAACAGCTTTCTATAAATACTATTAGAAAAACGTGTTTGTCCGTGACGATGTATCTGAACTGGCTATCTACTAATTATCACGTCTAAGGCGGTCGATAGAGATATTTTTGTTTTTTTACTACTTATCCACTTAATAACATTCTTCACGCTGCGGAATATGAAGCAGTGGAGATGTTATTAGAATTTATTTTTTGTTGCTGTCGCGTGATTGCTGTGCAGTTTGACGTTCTGATTGGTAGGTTCGAAATACGAAAATCGAATGAATATTAAAATCACCTTAAATCGTATAGATAAGTACTTAAGTACATGTAAACACTAGTAAATGAAAGTATAATTTGTTGAACATATACCTAAACTTACTTACTTAGTTTTACTTGAAATGGTTAGAAGTTTAGATACGTATAAGAACAAAATTGAATTGATTTTCTTAATTTATTGTGGTAAGTAGGTACTTGAGGTCCAACAGACCACAATTCTACCTAATTTTCACCGTAGATTTTCACAAAAAACTGACAAACTTTGTTTTTACACCTGGTTCAAGACCACCTATCATTACCTATATCCTAGCTAGACCGACGTTACTTTTCCTCATCATTTAAGACTTGCTCAATAGATGCTCGAAAAAATACACAATCAACTCAAATGCACTCTCTATGCGCACCCTAATGCCCTCGTCGCCAGCGGTCATCGGGCGGAAGTATACCAAAAACCGTTCATTTCGAACCCGAGATCAACTCCCAGATTTTTTTCCACTCACCTCTTCTCAGAAAGTTTACGACTTTTAAAAAAGCAACACAAAAACTCCTTGGTCTCAATGCCCTCTTTCTATGGGAACGTTCCGTTTATAAGCCGAACTGTGAATTTATTTGGTTTGCCCCGGAATGTCACTTTAACTAATAAATTCATGCGTCTAAATGTCGTTGATAATTAGGCAGGAATTTTTGAAATAATTGAAAAGATTTAGTTGGTTTTTTTTTCTGAATTAGGTTATATTTTGATACCTATACTTAGTCTAGTTTGAAACTAAATTCCTAGTGCTTAAAGATCGTTAGAAAGTTACTTTTCCCGTGCAGTTTCATCCGCTGTTAAGTTTTTACTGAACGTAACGTGATGTTTATTACACAAAAATAATTGTTCAAATCGAACCAGTAGTTCCCGAGAGCGCGTTCGTTATAAACAAACAAACTCGTCAGCTTTAGAATATAAGTAGCTACCTACATAGTACAATTTTATTTGTGGATCCCTACAAATCTACTTTTTTAATATTTAACGTTAGGGCCTGTTGTTGTAGGATTGGTAGGATGCGATTAGGTGCCAACTACTTAAACTAATTTATAGACCTCTTTTCGCCTGGGAGTGAGGCAAACGTTTACCAAAACAAATGTGTATCTACAATACGCAAAAAAAATACTATATCCTCAGTCCTGTTTTGCATTGGGGTAAATTCAAACACCATTAGATTGGAACACCTGCCATTTTTTCCACAATATTGCACTCTACAATTTTAACTAACAGTAAATAATAGTCTGGTTCCATTTTTAAATTTTTTGGAAATTACAAATACGCCATCTTTCATATAATATCCATAACACTTTAACATCTTCCAGTAGCGATTCTTTTGTAGTTTCAGATTTTTGTGATAGATGGCAGTGTTAGAAATATGACTAAAAGTAACTAGATGGCGCTACGCAGGAATCCAAGTAAAGTATCAAAACAACAGATGTTTAGACAAACCACTAGATGGCGCTTGTATTACTCGACCACATAAAAAGTGTAACCGTTATAACAGCTCGTGGTAGTGTCGAACTCCCTTTTAATTTTGCCGGTTAGTAGTAAAAGTAATGGAGTCAATAACAGACAAAGCTCGTGTCTATGGCCCAAACCAACACGTCTGGCAGTCTGTTGCCGCGTTTCTATGAAAGGTGGATGTGTCAGTTGTAGAATCGGATTCATCGTGAAAATGCTGTGAAAGTGTTTTTAACATAAATTTGTGACTGAAAATTGTATTAAATAATAAGTTTGAGTTTTGAAAAACAGAGTGAAGTGTTTATTTGTGATTTTTAGTGGACGTTTGTGTGTTAAATCGTGAGGTAAAGCTGTACATCGGTGCGATTACTTCAAGTTCGCCGGCTTATCTTGTTGTGGTGTGTATGATCGATATTTACCCCCTTTTATTCTTCGTTTTGGCTCCTTTTTGTTATAAAAACTCAGTGTCGCACGTTTGTAGCAACATGTGATTCAAGTTTATTAAATTTAAGTTCTATACATCTTTGTAATTTCAAAGTTTTAAACGGATTTTCCACTGTATTGACGCTCCGTTTATTTTATTTTGTGAAAGAAATGCGTTGTGTTGTTTATGTAGTTGCATTTATTATAAGTTCCGGCCAATTAGATGCTTACTGGACGTGAATTTTAATTATTTTGCGTTAGTTTTCTAGTATCAAGATTGTTTACTTTGTAATTTGCATCTTACGTGAAGTAGAAAGCCGTAGTGCATGAATGCTTGTTCCTTATTTAAATTAGCTTAGATACCTAGGTACCGTTTTATTAGGGCAATAGATTAGAATTTACATTTTTTTTCTTTATTGAACTAGGTAATGCAATTTTGTGACAAGTGGTTTTAAAGTCGTAGGTAAGATTAATGCCTATTTTACGAAATAGAAATGGATTTTGAGGACACAGATCAAGTGTGCATCTAAAATGTGTTACTTAAGAATTTATTTTAATATCTAAGCAGAATTATTTTTGTGCAATATTTTAAGTATACATATTAATATTTAATTTAATTAACCAACTAGGTATTGACATTCAATACCATTGCTGCAGATACTATATTTTATAATGCCTAGTTAAATGCTTATTATACCCATTATTTTTAGGAGATTTTAGGAGATAGTAAGTGCCTTTATTATTAATATTAAGGTATAAGGTACTATCCTAACTTCAATGGTTCTTAATGTTGTTTAATAAACTTCCTCCCTTTAATACAAAACTACAAATAGTTATATATTTTTAACTAACTTGCAGATTCTAATTAGACAGCAAGTTTCCTTTATCTGATTAAAATTAGATAGAACAACAACCAATTGTAATCTAATTAATATACATAAAAAAATACTTAAATCTAAAAAAGAACTTTGACAATAAAATACTTAAGTCAAAACAAATATACATTTAAGTAGGTATTGAATTCAAGGTCTATGTCATGCTGGCCATAAAGAAAAGAAATTGAAAATACATGCCATGCCAATAACTATTATAATACTTCCCACTTAAAACACAAGCACATTTTTATCTAAAGGTATTCAAAACAGTTAGAAATTATATTTCTAAACACTTTTTTGCATTCATGTAATTCTTAACAATTACCATAAGCAATAAATGTATAACAATATTTTTTTTAAATATAGCAACTCTTTGTTTAAATGTCACCGATATACATGTGGTTGTTTTTCTTAACACCCTCATCCGTTACTGAACAGGGTGTTTACTTTTAGTTAAAATTAGATGAAACATGATTTAGTATGTAATTTAACTTGTAAGTGGGGTTCAAATGATAAATCTGAAGGATTTTGTTTGATGATTCGAGTATAATTAGTTTCGTTTCTTAAATAAATATTTTCTAACTATATTTTAGGTGTTTAAATGGTTTATTTTTTATTACAAGTACAAATGTTACTGTAGGTAAAACATTGCAATGAATCATATGTAATATTTGCCTTATCACTTTAATGTAGATTACTTATCAACATAATTTTTTTGATATGTTATTTTTGTGTGTGTGTAATAGACTCATGTTTATAATTTTTTGGTATTTGTACCTATTTCCCAAATAACATAGTCATAAACCATCCTGCATGGTAAAGGTACTTACATATTTTGTGTTCTGAAATTGAAAATCCTATTTTACTCTTTGCCCAACCAAGAACAGCATTTGAACAAATTCATACACATACCTATGTCGTGATCAACTACCTAACGAAGCAGTCAAATCATCATTACACGATTTTCAAAGATAACAAAAGCCATAAGTTTGATCCTATGCTTACATAACTCTCGATAATGAAAATAGTCCATTTTGCTCTCAATTATCGCTTACCTACTTACGTCATTTTGTCTATATGTCGATCTAGAATCACACGTAATTTGCATGTACACGCACACTTGGGTAAAAAATGAGTCATAATCGTCATATTGTATGCACACTACTATTTGCAAGGATCTATGACTCAGTCATTATTTTGCTGGAAAAGTTTTTATTTTAATGCCTAGGTCATGTTACAATACCTAGTTTACCTGTATATTAGAAATTGCTAGTCCGGTAACGCGCCTGTGGTTCCTCCGTGTGTCCATGGACGGCGCTGATGACTTACCATCAAGTGATTCGTCTGCTCGTTTGCCTCATATTCCATTCAAAATAAGTTTTTGATGTTGTTTCCCATCTATAGGGCCATAGGTCGTTCGCAGCGTTTGATGTTCGCAGGAGTACTTACACGGTATTTTTTCAATTTTTAAGTGGGAAGACAATTTAAAATATTTTCCTGCCCTTGATAGTGGCTGGCTTTTGTCTAACTAACTAAAAATCTGTACGTTTTTTCTCCTGCTCCGACCCAAGCTGCGTCATATTATAGTGCTTACAATCGCAAATTACCCAGTTACCCATTTCTTAAAATTGCAGTAGGGACAGTCCAATAGAAAAGCCTGTCTTACGAAATTCTTCTAATGTGTCTTGAATTACGACGATTGAGAGGTTAAGTATTAGCTAGATAGCTAATCAGAATCATCTTATAAGTAATTAATATGCTACAAGAATAATAGTTTGTAAATAATGTACCTAATAACGTTATTAACTTTATTACATAAAACGTTAAATACATACCTAGTTCATCACTTTTCCCGAACTTTTTGTGGTGCCCTGAAATATTTTACGATTCTGGATGTTTTATGAATGTTAAACCTTATATAACTTTACGAGAAATTCGTGTATTTTAAAGAAACCGCCGCATTATACAAGACATGAAATCTATTGTTTTCAATTTGAGTAGAGAAGTTATTGCGGCCTTTGAAACCGGGCACCGGCTCCCTTGAGAAATATGAAGAAAAGCTAGTGTCAACTGTGATGTTTAATGGATGGCGGCTTCTCCCATGATGTTGCTACTTAAATACCTACTCTAAAAAGAGATAAATTAAGTATTTTTCTTACTGAATAAAAAAGAACAGTTTTTGGCATAATTAATCCCAATAAGTCCTTTATTTTTATACCTATCCATTCTCTGACGTCATAATTATCTCCAATACAGTATACTACGTCATATAATAGCGATTATTAGGCACTCATCCGTCATTCTCGCTCATTCAACTATAATTCATCACTCCTTCAGACTCATTAAACCCACTCAAATCTGTTCTAACTTTAAACAAAAAGTGCCTACTTACTATAAGCCACATCAAAAGACCTGATACATTTACAATTCTGAACATGTGGGGCATTACCCTACCCCGTTCACATTTTTTCCCCTGCGATCTTTATGATTCTTCAGGGCACGATCACACATGCTTCGACCACGTCATAAATACGTACCCAAACAATGCTATCGACATCTGGAGCGTCTGAAGGCAGTGACGTAATGGCACTATAAAACATGGGTATCAAAGGTACTTGGCTGTAAGGAAACTGACGCATGGCTGGTATGGTGACAGAGCAATTTTATGGCAACGTTTAGGTGACGAAATACACAAGGGATTTTCTACAGCAAACAAGCATAAAACGTTTACAGTTGGATTATTTTCCCATGAAAGTGGATTGAGTGAAGACACTACAGTCTATATGACATTGTTGAGAATTAGATTTCGTCATAGAAAACGAATCATTATAATCGTCCTTAATAGTTGGCCAGCAAAAACCGTGTTACTATTTTAAAATTTACAACTAAAAGTGAATCAGAGCGGACGTCGTTTTGAAAATAAGCGATGACATATAGTGAATGCAAATAAAAATATAGTTTCCTAGGAAAATAAGGCCATTAAAGGTTTAGAGTTGACACTCTTGAGAAAACAAAACTAAGCTTGCGTAAATACCTAGACGACCAGCGTTCCAGATAGCGGACTTAAGAAATCGATCATAAGAAAACTATTTACCAACTTGCTTATGCGGAAACTGCAATATTTACCTAAATAGGTAAATAAATCATTTTCTGAAAATGATGTAATAAATGAATAAAACAAAACATTAGACTTATGGTCTGACAAAGATGAATGGTAAGTAGCCAGTAACACCTACTTAGCCGACCATAAAACATAAATCCGAACAGTTACTACTGTAGTTCCTAAAATAGAACAACGCATTTACTTTCACCGATCCGAATCGGTTTCAATACTAGATCTGAAAAGGAATAAAAAGGCTAAAATCTATCAAGCACAAAGATGAAAAGCAAAATTCGCTCGAAACTTTCAATTTTGATTCGCCTTAGAAAATCGAGAATGCAGTCAGTAACGTTCATAGCATACCTGCAACGGATCGAAACGGTGATCTCAAAGGAGAAAAGGGATCGAAATCTCGGTCATTGTCATTCAGTACAGGCCACTATACTTTTACTGTCGTCACCACGCCATAAGGCCCCATAAAAGGAGAGACAGTTTTGTGAAGTTTGTTTGTCCCCGGTATTACGTTGTTCTTCCATTTGGTGATGACTTCATTGAAGGTGGTAATTTGGAAGACATTTACAATATGGACGGGTTGAAAGACCATGCACTTTTATGGGTTGAATGTAATAGTAAACAGTTGAGCTTTCAATGTCTTATTTGGGTATCTACAAGGGCCTTTTGAACTAGTTTTGTTATTATACCAAAAAAATTTTTTTTTTTTATGAAACGGGATTCCTCTTTGAATTACAAGTTCAGTTTCTGGACACGGTAGTTCTATTTTAACATTCTGACCAAATCTATATCTACTAATCTGTACTAACTAACTACTAACTAATCGAATCTAACTAAATCTATAATAAAGAGGTGAAATTTGTAAGTTGGTATGCAGGGGGCAATCGTTGGAAACGTAGGTCGGTTTTCCAAAATTCTTTCACTGATAGATCTACAATATAACTTAGTGCTATAGGCTATAAATTTAACTTGCGTATTTTAGTCAAGC